TAAATAAATAAAAGTGAGAAAGGAGAAAATAATATAAAATGGTAAGTAATACTAAAGTGAGAAAGAAGGAAAGCAAATAGAAAATTTGTATAAAAAATGAGGTTAAGCAGGTTCGCACCCGCGACCTCAGCTTTGGAAAAGCTAAGACTTACCAACTAAGCTACACAAATATGTAGAGTATCACTTTGTACTATATATCTTTTTTATCTGTTTTCCCTTTTAATCACAATTTTTCCAAGTAAGCAAGCAGACTACTCTTAAATCCGCCCCTCCCATACTACAGGGTCGGTCTAACTACCACTATGTAGAACCTACCTGTCCATACTCCATATAATATGGATCACATGTTACCTTTAGTTGCTGAAGAATAAGTATATTTGAAACCTTTCGGATTTCTCCACTAGAACTCATCACCTCCAAGAATGATAGGAAAAACAAAAGCATTAAATCTATTTAGGAGGCAGGGGTGTCCACATGGGCTTGATTTGCCAAGTCTGTTTATATGTATTATGAAACGCCAAACTAATTTTAGAAGTAGGTATATGGTATGTAAGAATATATTTTACAGTTTGTGTTATGTGTTACAGTGCTTGTATAGGCGGACTGTTTTATTAATTCATGGATTAGTACCTGATTGTCATACTTTTGAAAATTTATTGATATCTATTGGATGATATCCTTGGTTGGCACAATCTGATTCAGAAAAAGGAAAATGATGTTCAAAGTTTTTAGCAATAGCATCTTTGTTTTGTTGTGGATGTCTAAGCGTTTGACTTTGTTTTGTAGGGAGATGCTCCAGCTCCGATCATACACCCAGAAACTTGATGTTTATAGTTTTGGCATTGTTCTGTGGGAGCTCATAGCAGGGTTGCTTCCTTACCCGAGCATGACTGCTGTGCAGGCTGCTTTTGGTGTTGTCAACAAAGGCGCCCGTCCAATAATCCCCAATGATTGCTTAACTGTCTTATCTAATATCATGACCTGCTGCTGGGATTTTTACCCCGATAAGCGACCAACTTTCTCTCAGGTGGTCAAGATGCTTGAGGCGGCTGAGATAGAAATCATGACTAATGTCAGAAGGGCACGTTTCAGGTCCTGTCCTCGTCCTACGGCTACTGGGAAAGATTAAACTTTAGGCAAAAGACATTTAATTGAAAAATTGATTTTGAGTCAATAATATCTATTCGGCACAATCTCTTTTCAGATAGAAAAAGGATTATAGTTATGCGAAAAAACTAAACATTTCTATGTTTTAGTTTGTTCTTTTCTTTAAACTGTGGATTTAAGACAACGACTAGTTGGCTTGCTAAATTTGTTCAAAGTTGTATCAGGTTTTGAATTATATGAAATACTCATCTATGCTTGCAGCCTCGTTTTCTTTGTTACACTCTGATAGTTTTATCAGTGCAGCACACATATTGTGATATGCTTTGGGCTTATCGGAAACAACCTCTCTACTTTTACAAGGTAGGGGAGTAAGACTGTGTACACAACACCCTCTTCAAACTCAACTGTGATTGGTAGGGTTTCGGCTGGAGAAGACGACGGAGTAAGATGAAGACGGTATAAGAACAACAGTGTTGAACAAGGCTTACAATCGATATGTCAAACAGACCTATATATTCATGGCTCATGATGAGAAGAATGAATGACACATCGATAACCGCATAATATTCTCTCTCTCTCTCTCTCTATATATATATATATATATATATACACACACACACACACACACACACACACAC